GGAACAACCAATTGGACAGAAAGGAATGCTTGCGTTTTCGTTAAAGTTAAGACGCTTAAAAGATTGCCTGAAAGCATGGAATAAAGCTACATTTGGAGATGTACATCAGAATTTAAAGGATGCTGAAGATGAACTCTGTATCAAAGAATTGATATATGATCAATCTGGTGATAAGAATGATCAAGCGGAATTGCATAAATCTGAAGCTCATCTACTTAATAAACTGCGCGGGCAAGAGGATTTCTTTCTGAAAAAATCCAAGTTGAAATGGATGTGCGACGGAGACTTGAATACATCCTTCTTCCATGCCTCCTTTCTGGAAAAGAAAGCTCGACTGGGAGTTCATAGAATACGGAAATCTGATGGCACATGAATCACTGATAGAGCTAGCATTGAATAGAAGGCAGAAAATTTCTTTCAAACACTTCAGTAAAGAGGAGTCCACAAATCATGAAGAAGCATGTGAGGAAATCCTAAACTGCATTCCAGCGGAGGTAACACAGCGGGACAATGAGAAGCTGTTGCAATACTCACCATGGAAAGATAAAGAATGATGTTTTCAGCCTTGATCTCTCGAGCTCTCCTGGACTTGATGGATTTGGTGGCGACTTTTATTAACAATGCTGGCATATCATAAACCAAGATCTTAAATCAGCTTGTGAAGACTTTTTCGTTGGTCGCGAGCAATTGGAAGCACAGTAATAACTTTGATTCCAAAACAGGCCACACGACATCGTTTGCGGACTTCAGGCCAATAAGCATGTGTAACTTCATCAATAAAGTCTTCACAAAATTGTTAACATAAAGGCTCAAACCTCTACTTCATGGACTAATGTTTGAAGAGCAATCAGCCTTTATTCAGGGACGAGATATTGTTGATAATGTGTTAATGACACAAGACTTATAAAAGTTGACATGATGAAGGCAATCTACTTATAAAAATTGACATGATGAAGGCATTTGATAGGGTCTCATGGAGCTTTTTACAATGGATTCTACGCAAGTTTGGTTTTCATGAAAAGTTCATTGTCGTAGTAATGTCTAACCTTGAACAAAGTTGGTTTTTGATCCTTCTGAATGGAAATCCGAATGGTTTCTTCAAGGCCACACGAGGGATAAAGCAGGGAGACCCCCTTTCACCTTATTTATTCATATTAGTATCGGAAGTTTTATCCTGGAATTTGAAAGCCCTAACGGATGCTGGAAAAATTTCACTTTATGGTGTTCCCGCAGGATCGATCATAGTCTCGCATCTATGCTTCGCGGATGACCTCATTATTTTCGCCAAAGGTTTCAAGAATTCAATAAAGAGATTAAATGATTTTTCACGGATTATGAAGATGCAATGGGTCAGAAAAAGAATAAGCAAAAAAGCATGTTCATAACATCGGAGAAGAGTAGTGAGCGACAATTTGATACCATCTTACAAACTCTTCAAATGCCGCAAGGATAACTACCTTTCAAATTTAGGTTGCATTCTCTTCAAGGGCAAAAAGAAAGTGGAATATTTTCATCATCTTTTAGAGGCTATGGATTAAAGCTATAGAATTGGAAAAATAAGATGCTTTCAATAAGAGGGAGATTGATCCTGATTAAGAATGTTTAACTGCTATACCCACTCATACTATCGCAGCATTAGTCCCTCAAAAATCAGTCCTTACAACTACTGAAAAGAGATGCCAAGATTTCCTTTGGGGAGAAAATGATCATGGCCCTGGTCGGCATTGGCGCACTTGGAAGAAGCTAGGGTTTCCGGTTGATGAAAATGGACTTGGTTTTCGAGCATTAGAAGACACCATCAATGCTTTCTCCATGAAGTTATGGTGGAAAATTCAAAATGAGAAGGGAGTGTGGGCTGTCTTTATCTCTTCATTGTTGAACTCTGCTAAGGAAAGAACAAGTTGGGCCGGGTTCAAAGAATTGATACTTTGGCTAGGTCGAAATGCAAAATCCTCTTAGAAGACGGTTCATCTTCCTTTTGGTTCGATTCATGGCTGGATGCAAGCTCTCTGTGGAAGGAATCTACAACCCGCCCTTGAAAAATCTAACTGTGAAAGAGTTTGTTTGCTTCTAAATCCTTTTTCTTGCAGGAGTTTGTAAACGTCTTAAGCCAAGAAGTGAAGAACCAGCTCTCATCTATGACGATTCATTTTACGGAGCAAGAAGACCAAATAAGCTGGATTCCTTGTGATTCAGGGAATTTTTCTGTTTCCTCAGCATATTTTGAATTTCGGGAATCCAAAAAATCCAGTGCTTGCGAATTTTTGGAATAAATATTTACCTTTAAAAATATATTATTTCATGTGGAAGTTTTTTTAAAAAATGTTGCCTTTCCCTGAGATTTTGCAAAAAGTTGGTCTTAATTTAAGACCATCGAGATGTTCCTTTTGTAAGAAATAAGAGGAGGACATTGAACATGTTTTCTTTCATTGCGTTAACATAAAGCCTGTTTGGCAAATTTTTTCGTCCAATCTAGGAATTACTTTCGATAATAATGCAGGTTGGAGGAATATTGTTCAAGCTTGGCAATCCATTGGAAGCTTTTCCTCTGCCAAAAAGACTATAATCATTGCCTTACCTGCTTTTATATTATGGGAGCTATGGAAATATAGGAATAAAATGCTTTATGAAGGTATTGGTTTTTCTTTTGATTTCATTCTTTAAACTATTCGGTTTCTCATCTTCAACATGTTGAGTGTACATAACCTAAAGGCTCGAGACCTAGAGGAGCAAAAAGCAATTGAGCGGGCATTTCATTTTAAAGTGGAGAAATTCAAGCCAAAAACAGTGATATCACTTTGATGGCAGCCACCAGAACTGGAAGAAACAACACTTAATTTAGACGGTTCGGCGCTAGGTCAACCTAGAGCTGCGGGATGGGGTTATGTTCAAAGTACAGGCGATTCATCAGAGCAGAATGCAAATACATGGGAATGGCAACAAGCTTTGAAGAAAAAATAGCAGCAATCCTCAATAGTCTTCAATACTGTATGGAAAAAAGAATAACTCGAGTGATCATTCAATCCGACAATCAGGCAATAGTCAATTTGCTTCATTAGAATAAGTGTTACCCATGAAAGCATCACTATAATTTCAAGGAAATTCAACGCATGATTCGTTTCTCCAACTCTAAAATCATACATGTCTTCAAAGAGGTCAACAGCATGGCAGAGGAACTTGCAAAAATGGCATCAAACAGATTAACGATTCAGTGCGACAGTCGGGAGCAACTACCAGCCTCTTTGATAGGCAAATGGTATCTCGATAAATGTTCCTTCCCTTATATCAGAATTAGATAGGACTTTATATTTTTTTTTATATAAAAAAAAAACTTCTCTAGATTAGATGGAGATGTCATGGAATTTATGTAGAATCTTTGTAAGACATTATCCTAGGATTTCGAATATAAGCTAGAAAGAATTGTTATGAATATTGCACTATATTTGTGGGATAATTCATAGTTGTAATTGCATAGGAGCTGTCAGGAGTTTTAGTAAAACTATTGTAAAATGGCATCCTTTTCCTTTTGGGTAAGTTTTAAGCACTGCCTTGGGTAATTTTTTTCCTTATATTAATAAAATCGGGGTCCTTCCGCCAGGTACCGCCTAGATTTCCCTAAAAAAAAAAAGAATTTTGTAACTTCTCCTTTCTTAAAGACATTAGTATGTGTCCCGCGCTTTGCGCGGGTTTGTCAATGTTTGAAAATTGTATCTTTTAAAAGAATTAACTAGATAATGTATTTTTACTAATATTTCTTAAAACCGAAATACTTTTTGATTAATCAATTTTAGATCAAACTTAGAGGTATTGACATTATTTATGAGATGTATATTTGTAGAATATGGTAAAAAATATTACAACAAAGATTTTCAAAAGTTGTATATAAAAATTGTCACCACTAACTAATGTTATGTTTGGATTAAAAAACATATTTAAAAAATGCATAAATTAAGTCTAGATGCCTATAGCCTATTTATAGGTAAGGGGACTTTGGGGATTAGATTTAGTTCTAATAAATATGAGACACAATTAATCGTCCTTGAAAATGTAAAATCGATAAATTTTAAGACCTAAGTAGCACAAAAATGGAACTTTAAGAGCCAAAATGACAATAGGTTTAAAGTTTAAACTCGTAAATGCAAGGACTTCTGAAGACGGGGTTTCTCAGCAATTTTCAAAAATATTCATTTTCAAACTCTCAATCAGAAATTTGTAATATCTATAAAAATCTTATATAGTAAATAATAGTTATTAACTGTTTACGTAAAATTTTAACTGATTAACGATTAACCAATTAGCAAATGAAACGTGTTAATTGAGGCTTGATGGTCTCAATGAGCGACACGTGTCGATTATCTTTCTTTCTTTTAATATATATAATGATTTGTACCTTTTTTTATTTTAAAAAAATACATTTGTACCTAACACTCCTTAATCTCACCATCACAAGTTCATTGAAGTAACTACCTAACTATTATTTTTTGTTCACCTTATTCTTTTTATCCTAGAATTAGTTTTTATCTTTGATATATTTTCTTCTATGAGTTGTTTTTTTTCTTTTTGATACAAAGATTTAATATTGTTTTATTGCTCATTTTACTAGTGTATTTTTTAAAAAACAATTAGAATACTATGTTTCACTTCCGTTGAAAATTAGGAAATGACCATTTAGGTTATATTACACATTCAGTGAACTTTCTAAATTAAGATTATGTTTTTATTGTCGTCAATTTTCTCCTTTGTATACAGTGCAATGAGTGAATGACCTACAAAGCCGAAGGTGCACGAGTGTCTGACAGTATCACAAATTCTCATAAGTCATGAAGCCCAAATTAGTTCCAGAATTGGGCCCATTTAGTCCATTCTTTCTGCTTCCGTCACTAAAGGTCCAAAACACCACCAGACAGAAATGGCGCCAACGATTTTCATTTAGTGGCGGGAATATGAAATTTCATACCAAAGATACGATATTAAATTTACAATTTTGTCACGTATTTTCATTAATTTCTCATTTTTTCAGCAGCAAAATAAAAAGGATAACATAAATTAAAATCATTTTTTTCTGGAAAATAAAGAGGCGCAAATCCCACTCAAACCCATTTCACTCAACTCCTCTTTCCATTTTTCTACTCAATTCAACTCTCAGATTTGGATAATTACCCCCAATTTTTCAATCCTTCTTCCTCATTGCATGCGCCGAGACTTCGATTAGGGTTTTCTGATAATTTGTATACTTTAGGGATGGAAGATATGGTGGAGGAAATGGTAATCGATGTGGATGAGGCGGCGAAGAATGGAGAGACGAAGAAGACACTCAAAAGGAAGCGGGGCGGCGCCGGAGCTTTGGCGGACCCGTTACTGAACTTGGACGCGGAAGGGAAATCTGCAAAAATCCAGTCTTTGAGGGAGGAATTGAACAGTCTGTTCAAGTTTTGCAAGGAACTGAATGGGCGGAAGGGCAACGACGGAAGTGATTTTAGTAATAACAACTTTGATGTGACGGTTGCGGTGTTGATGGAGGAGAGTGGGCTTCCGTTGAACAAGTTGGTGGCGGAGATTTTTGAGAAACTGAAGGGGAATGGAAGCGGCGGTGACGGTGTTGGTATTAGTAGCTTGATTGGTGTGCAAAACCGTGTGCTTTCGATTGGCCAGAGGGTTTCTTATGGAATTACCAGCGCCGATGCTAATATTTTGGAGGACGATTCAGAGTCTGCCCTCTGGTGTTGGGAGGTAACTCTCTTAATTAAAAGTTACTCCTGAGTATTGGATCTTCTTGTTAATTAATTGAGTGGATTTGCTTTCACGCCAGTTTCATGTTAGCTTAAAAGGATCTCGACTTTATTTTGGTTACCATCCATGTCAACTTTATGAATAATTCTGTTTGATATAAAAGCTTAATTTTTAGCATTGAAAAGGCATGCATTAATACTGTTAAAGTTTTTGAAGCCTGGTGGCCGAGATTTTATAAACTTTATTTTACATGTAATTATTATGGTAGTGGACATGAACTTTTTGAGGTAGCACTCAACACTTTCAACTGAATCTTCTTTTACTGCTTGCAAAATTTTGTTTAATTTGTAATTCAATGTAACTTTCTTCTTCAGAAAATGCTATTCTGTCATTAATGTAAAATGAAATGATGCCCCTTCACCAGAAGCTATCAGTGCTGCATAAATGGTGATCAGATTTTACTTGTACTCTGAATCTTTCTCCATAAATTCTGTTTTTGAATTTAATTATGCAGACAAAAGATATGAAGTTGCTGCCTAAATCATTGCGTCCCATGCTGAAAGGTTGCCGGACAATTCGGAAGAAAATCCAGGAGAGGGTTTCTGCTATTTCAGGTAGAGCATTGGAAAATGCTAACTTAAGCTTGGTTCCTCAAATGCCTAACTTGAAATTTGTTTCTGATGTTCTTCATTTGGTTCTTATGTCGAAATTATAGACCTTACTATATTCTAGGACATATGTAGAATCAATCTGGATTCTTTTTGTTTAATATGGGCTTCCATTATGTGTTCGAAATATTTATTCTTTCAACAATGGTCTCCATGTTTTGTCTTCCTACTTGTTAACTCTGCAGTTGTTATAGCTCCAACTTCTTGCCTAGCAATTCAATCTCCTGTTTACTATATGATTCAAGGACTCTGTTTAGGTTTCATACTAGGGTCTCACACCGAGGTTGCAATTGTTGACTCTGGTTTCTGTATCTGTTTGGCTAGCAAAATCTAGATGTGGAAGACATTTATCTCTGGTGGTCAAATGTGGTTCAACAAATTGGAGATCCAATATGGAAAGATGCCCCACATTAGTTGTCTCAGTTATCGAGTCAGCTAAGTGTGGTTTATAGTTGAACATTCCTTGGATATCATATGTCACATGCTGATAGTGAAAGAGATTTTCCCCTTTTCTTTTTGTATGAATATTTAGATTGCATCCTAAGCAGCTAGGCCATAAACCTTTCAAAGAGTGTACGAGAATGCTGCATGCATCACACAGTTTTCTTTTGCTATTTCCTTCCTGTTTCTGTCATTTTAGTATAGCAACTTGAAATGATCATTCATTAGTCTTTGATCATTTAGATTAGGCTATACTGCTGTATGTATCTAAAGGTTTGTAATGCAACTAAAGGCTTGCCTGCCTGGTACATGATATCAACTAGACTGGTACATTTGTTTTATTTTCAATCATCATAGATCTTTCCAACTGAAACTCAATCACTCAAGAAATTGAACACATTGATCTTTATGTGAAAGGATTGTTAATTAACTTTTGACCGTGAGTTTGGTTCTAGAATTTCCTAGCTTATTTACTGTAGGTATTATCCAATAATGTGACATTGGTGATGCCGAAAATTTCATTCATTAAGCCCTACAAATTTTTGCCTGTTTGGTAAATTGACAGGTCACTGATGTTGTAATTTGTTTCAGCAATGATCGCAGCATTAGAAAAATCAGAGAGCCAGCAGAACTCCCAAGAGTTGATGAAAGCTTCGGAAAAGTTAAATAAATTATTGAATGAGACAGACATTCGTAGTTTAGTTGATTCTATGGAGCAGAATTTCAGGGATGAAGTGTACGTCTGTTCCAATTGTTCTCAGGGCTTTCTTTCATAAGTTGCTTATCTTTTTGCCTTATTGTTTTCTTCAAATGGCTACAGGGCAAAGAAAGAAGCAAGAAAAGATGAGAAACTTCTAATCAAGCAGTTGGAGAAAAACAGACGAGAGGAGGAGAAAGAAAGGAAAAGAGTGGAGCGAGAGCTGCAGAAGGAGAAGTTGCAAAATGTGAGCTTTTCATGTGTTGTTAATCTAACCTCTGCTCGAGTTTCCCTCCTATGGATTATTTCTGCACAGGGTTTGAATTTTTCTTTTTTGGCTTTTCTGCCATATGTTTTTAATTATTTTTTTAAAAGCACTCAGTTTTTTAACATTCTCTGTTACCTTTCAAGATGGGACATAAATATGGCATCTTATTTAAGAATTATTTTGCATCTTAAAGGAAAAAGAGCGAAAGCGGTTGCAGTATGATGCAGAGAAGGAGGAGAGGAGACGTGAGAAAGAAGAATCTGAAATGAAAAAATTGTTAAAGAAGCAGCAAGAGGAACTTGAAAAGGATCAACGACGTAAGGAGAAGGAGGAAACCGAAATGAAAAAGCAATTATCCTTACAAAAGCAAGCAACACTAATGGAGCGTTTTCTTAAAGGAGCTAAAACAAATTCATGTATCAAGAATGATCAACCTCTAAATAAAGAAACACCTGTTGTGCCTCAGAGGAACAAAGGGTCACTTGAATCAGTTACTTTGGCTATGGACTCTGTACTTTCGACAAGTGAAGGACCAAAAGAAGAAGATATATGGAAGTGAGGATCTCTTTCCCTGACACTCACTGGTATGGATGCAATTATCCAACTATTGTTTTAAAATGCCTACTTATATTTGCATTGTTGCAGGCTCCACCTGAATTCTTGGCGCCACATAGGTAGTTCAGTTCGTTCAAACAGACATGCACATTGGAGCATTCGCCGGAAACCTAAGACGGAACTAATGAAGGGACTCAAGCTATCTGCAAATAGAGGACCGGCTAGAGATGATGAGATGAAAACTGAGAAGGAAGTTGATGGATGGGTTGAAGCTGGGACTGGGACTGATAGTAGATCTTGTCTTGCAAATACAGATGGAATGATTGCTAACACCCAGGTTTATGCGCACAGGAAAAAGTTGTTGCAGTTTGACAAGAGTCACAGGCCTGCCTTTTATGGTGTTATGTTGAAGAAAAGGTAAGGCTTAGGCTGAATACTAACTACACATCCGTGGTTCATAGGATTTAACTGGATTTCGTTCCAGGAGGTTAATTTGCGTCAGAGTAGCTGTGGTTTAATGATTTTCTCTTTTTGCAGTCAAGTAATAAGTGCACGCAATCCTTTTGTTAAGGATCCAGAATTGGACTATGAGATTGATAGCGATGAGGAATGGGAAGAGGTATGACACTTATTGATCTCCGCTTGACTTATGGTTCGTATGCAAAGCTTTTTAATTTACATTTGATGGTGCAGGAGGAACCTGGTGAGAGTTTATCTGACTGTGATAAAGACTATAAAGATGGAGATGAAAGTATGGATGAAGGATGCTCTAGGGGGGATGACGATGATGAGAGTGAAGATGGTTTCTTTGTTCCTGATGGCTATCTGTCGGAGAATGAGGTAACACCATTTTAGTATTAATATCTCAGTATATTGTTGCTCACATTTCTAGGTTAGTTGTGTCTGATGAATAGTGGTAGTTTTTTTGGATGTTTCAGTTGGAAAAGATCATCTTCAATTATTAAGTTTGGTCTTCTGTAAGCTTGATGGAATATTTGGTAATCTCTTGGGAAGTTTGGTCTTCTGTAATTTAGACAGTTTACCATAGGTGTACTTATGTATGTTTGGTCATACTTAATTGATGCAATATAGGACACATCTTTATCTTTATTTTTTCAGTCACTTGATAGTTAAATATTTCACCCCTCAGCGCTCTTCCAATCTTTTTGGCTTGCTATGTTTGGTTTCATGTGGACTCCTTTGGTCCCCGTGTTAAATGGTAGAACTGCATTGTTTGGTGCAACTCAGAGTAGAATATCTCTAGATCTGTTGAGGTTTGTTCAATTCGACTCAAGCAAAAAGTAAACCTCAGAAGTTCTAATGTTCTTTGCATGTCATGCTCTCTTCTCATTCAATAGCTATAATGTATAAAGGTAATAAGAATTCCAAGTCCAGCTCAAAGAGGATGGGAATGAAATGAATTATATTACCAGTGGGTTGTGTTCTGTGCCTGTCTGTTTACCCTTGTAAAAATGTCCCCTTGTTATCTTCTTTCTAAGACAAATAGTTTTGGGTTACAGGGAGTAGAGGTTGACAAAGTGGATGCTGCTAACTTGGTTGATGAGATTTCCTGTTCCAAAGAGTCCACGCCAAATGAGGTGTCTAGTCTGCTGGTTCGGCAACAAAAGTATCTGCACAAGTTAACTGAGCATGCTCTTCGGAAAAATCAGCCCTTAATAATTCTGAATTTCGGGCATGAGAAAGCCCCTTTGCTATCAGCCGACAATGTCACTGGTCACGAGAACCTTGAGCAGATGTGTTTACAAGCTTTGTGCATACGTACATTTCCAGATGGGCCACAGGTGCAGATTTCATTTGTTAATGATAGAGAAGACGACAATGCTTGCACTTCAAACAGCAAAGCAAGCTCCGCAGCTTCAGCTAATGCGCCCACTGTATCAGACTCTGATTTGTCTGAGATTGTAAGTTTATTGTGCGTTAGTATCGAAAGCCGCTTTTCATTTCCTTGATTGGCATGGAACACTTCGATTTTTAAAGTTTGATCAACCTTCTTGGTTGGTGGAATAAGATAGTCCTGATTTTTTTTCTAAGCTTGAGTTCCTACTTTTCAGGATTACTCCAAATCTTGTATCAATCTTCGACGGCTAAAATAAATTGTTGAATTTGTCAGGTTTGTTTCATTCAATCACATTCATACGGCATTAACAAAGTGGTCGAAATATTACACGAGAAGTTTCCTACCAACTCCAAGTCTCAACTCCGAAATAAAGTGCGAGAAATATCAGACTTTGTTGATAATCGTTGGCAGGTAACTTTAACTCATTCAGATATCCTTGTTTAATTGGTTGTTCAATTTACATTGCCTGTGATTTTACTCTGCATGTTAGCTTTATTAGTACAATAGTCACACTTGGTCAATCAATCTCAATACCAAAAGACTGCTGGTACATTATATTCTAAATGCTACCAGCTACCGCATTAGCATTGCTTTAACATCTGTGAGCTAAAGTTTATCTCAAGATTTATTCATTATCGGAGGTGGTGATGTTTTAACCAAAATCCCTACAATGCCTGGAAGATGGGTCCTAGAAAGTGTTTCCAAAATCTTGTATGAGAAAGGAATTGGGGTCTTGACCATTTTACTATCTAATTCCAGTGATGCTTTTTCTGTGAAAGCAGTTGGATGCTTCATTTAGCACTTTATGATGAACTTGATCCACCAGATATCAGCTAGTATGACAATAGATACACATCCTTCTGGAATGTTAACTTTTTGACTTGATTATCTTATCCAAAGCATAATACTCCGTACATTTTACTGTTCTTTGAAGCTTCAAATTTTGCTTAGGTTGGTGTTGTTTCTTTCTTTACAAAGTCTTCAGTTATAGAAGCATGAAAGGGTTATACTTAACATTACTATATTTTTGTTGCTTATGTTGGTCTCTTCTGATGTAGGTTAAGAAAGAGATTTTGTTAAGGCTGGGGATTACAATATCACCTGGTATTCCCATTTATTCCTGAATTCACATCTCAATTCTTCCTTGTCCATGTGAAGTTTACTCATCTCCGGCTTTGAGTGCAGTAAGATGGAACTGCTTTTTTCCATGGTGTGAACATTTTATTTCTTGATTAATTTGCAGAAAAAGGGAGCGGAAGAACAAAGAACATTGCCACCTTTTTTTCGAAACGGTGCATGCCTCCTACTGGGAAGTCCGCCAATCCAAATGAAACCTCCCCACAGACATTGCAGAAGTCTTCAGCTTCTTCTGGTCAGCCACTGGAGGGTCCTACTGCGCAAGAGCATTAACCAGCTTCTTCTCCCCGTGGTTCACTCTATCCATTTTGTTATCGATAATGTAGTCTGTAACTTAAAGAGGTCCTTGCCTTACATGTATCCAGCATTCCAGCTTTAGTGTTTCCAAGTTGGTTGTATCTATTAATTATTATTTTTTTATTTTTTTTCTTGTTGAAACCCGTTTTTGGTTTTGGTTCTATTAATTTTGGTTCAGCATCTTAGGGGTTTACCTACCAGGATGGTTTTCAATGCATCTCGCAACAAAGATTCCTGCAATTTTGTTATAGTTACTTACTGACGTCGTTGCCAAAGTAGGTAGGAAACAAACGCGACCATCTTTATTAAGTTTGACAAATGTGGTCACCGAAAATAATTCAGTAATTATAGTTATTATTATTATTATTATTATTTTTTGGTTTTCTGCCCATGTTTCTCCTTAAAAGAAAAAAGAAAAAGTCACACAGGGTGTTTTCTAAATTTTCATCTCCTAAACTTGATGAGAATTGAAATCTGCATTTATCGTTCAACATGTTGATCACTCATTGTACATCTATCACTTCATACAACACTTTTAACTTATTTTAGTGCAAAGTGTATTATTATTAAAATATACTCCCTTTCGATTAGATATTTTGGTTTTTTTTAAGTTTTACCTGTTACGTATTTTTAATTGACGAAAAAATCTTTAAAATATATTATCATTGTGTTCTCTTGATTATTACGAAATATTTTTAAAGTCTTTTTGTGAATAGAAATGAGTATTAGGTGAAACCTAGGACAACTCAAAATACCTTATATTAAGGACCAGAGGAAGTAAGACGGAAAGAATAGTCACTATTTTTTTTATTGTTTGGTGAAATTATATTAACTCAATATTTTTTTTGGTGCGAGTAATTAACTCAATTTCTGATGCTTTACCGCACACAGTGATGAATATTCTAGATACTGCCAAAAAATACCAAAGGAGAAAAAGAGGTGCAAAGTCGACCACAGTATTAGCAAAAACCATAGGATCCTCGAAACCACGAGCTACAAAACACAAAATAAAGTAAAGTAATAATGGCATTTGAGTTATTTACCGGGAACCGCAGGGGTAATCCAACAAGTGGAACTGTTTAAACTAAACACTCAAAACTGGCAACAGTGTTTCCACATTTGTCGGCTTATGCCACCCTATAAATATAACAACTGCTGTCACTGTGTGAGTGTGTGTACTTTTTTTTTTCATCACCCACCGCTCCATTTCTCTTTGAATTTCACCTTAAAGCTTCTTCATTGTTAATTTAAAGATTTTGGGTTTCCTTCCATTTTCTCTCCAAACGTTTTTCATTGTTTGTTTGGTAGAGGGAATCCAAGTTAGAAGAGAATACAAATCTTCCTTGATTTCTGGGGGAAGAAAAAAGAGAGTACTTTTTCTACTCTGTTTATAACATAGGAATTGTCGAAAGCTCTGAAAAATGGCTTTGAAACTCAATGTTTTGAGCTTCCCAGCCGCCAAACATTCTGCATTTCCCAATGGGTCTCAGCACCGTGGATCTCACAGAGTCTTCATGGCTTCTACTCTTCATCCCCCCTCAGTGTGAGTTTCCAGATGCTTTCTCCCTTTTGGCCTCATCTATTGAATTGGATTGTCTCTGTATCTGCTGACACTACTCATTTTGTTTGATGATCAGCAATAATTTATTTGTCTTTTTTCTTGATTGATTCGGGTTTGGATTGATTTCAGCTATTCTATCTCAATGGTGTTTGTTTCTTTTAACCTCAATTTTCCCTCTCTGTACTTCATTGAGATTGATTTCAGTTTCAAACCAATAATCTCCGTGTTTCGTGAGATGCTTGATTGATCTTCTGGTATCCCATTATATCTGGATTCAATTTCAAGGGTTGCATGCAGGTCAATCTGTGCTTATTGACGTGATAATGGTTTTGTTTGCCCTTTTGATTTTAGTTAATTGATTTGCCTTTGTCCATTTGAAGATTTGTTATCAACCTTAAATCTTTGTCATCTGCATGTGTTGTTTGGATAGATTCCTTGAGGAAGATGCCTCGGAGTTTGATTTTCACCCCGTGTGGATGTTGAGTGAACTTTTGGTGCAGGATTTATAGTGAATTAAAAATATACTAGCCTTTAGCACTGCACGTTTTTTGATTCTTTATTCATACTGAAGTGCTTTTACATTTAATATCAGGGCCTCTACATGTTTTGCATTTGTAATTGTAGTATTTGGTGTCTTATTCATGTAATGCAATTTCCTGGTACCATGATTTCACTTGTTTGTTTCTTTTCACCCTATTTCATCATCCAGCTTCCTGACTTCATTTCAGTTTTTGTGGTTCTAGTTGTGTTGAAATTCAGCTCAGGTTGTTTTAAAAAGGTTTTGTCGATTCCGACGCTCAACTGAATTTTCCTTGTCCAGACAAAACCTGTCAATAGTTTGTGTCCTATTGAGTTTCCTCTTGCATTATCAGCAAAGAAAGTAGTGATCTTTGATGTAGTTATTTGCTGAGATATCTGATCTTTTAAGGCTCAAAAGAGTTTTTCCAGTTCACATTCAGCAGCTGTTTTTTGCATTGTTTGTTCTATCTGCAATTATGCTTTTATGCCTAACACAATCTGATCATACAGGGAGGTTGGAAATGCAAAGAAGCCATTTACTCCACCTAAGGAAGTACATTTACAAGTGACACATTCAATGCCGCCAGAAAAGCGCGAGATATTTGATTCTCTTAATGGTTGGGCCGAAAGTAATATTCTGGTGCACCTAAAGGATGTTGAGAAGTCATGGCAGCCTAGCGATTTTCTGCCAGACCCTGCATCTGATGGATTCGAGGAACAGGTCAAGGATCTCAGGGAAAGATGCAAGGAAATTCCCGATGACTATTTTGTTGTGTTAGTTGGAGATATGATCACGGAAGAAGCTCTTCCCACTTACCAGACCATGATTAACACTCTTGATGGAGTGCGAGATGAGACAGGTGCTAGTCTCACTTCCTGGGCCATCTGGACCAGGGCATGGACTGCTGAAGAGAATAGGCATGGTGACCTTCTCAACAAGTACCTTTATCTTTCTGGAAGAGTGGACATGAAACAAATTGAGAAAACAACTCAGTACCTGATTGGCTCTGGAATGGTGAGATGCTTCCTTTTCCTTATAGCTTTCGATGTGCATATTTGATCTTATGACTCCATACATGTGACATTTTCTCTCTTGTTCTTTTTGGTTTCTTCTTGCACTGCCAATGAAGACTGAAGGGGCAGTTATCTTGTTTGAAACATCCCTTATAAGCTTTCATATCCTACTTCACTATTCTTCCTCTCCAGAAGTTGTAGCAGATGGCAATTTGGCATCTAAAATGACTCAAAGAGACAAAGTGGCGTACGTCTTTCATGCAATTAACTGGATAGTAGTTTCTCACTATGAATCTTCATCATCATAACTTAGTTATTTAATTAAGGTGGCATGTTTGAGTAGTCCATCAACTTGTATTTCCTTTATTATTATTGATTTACTGTCTTCACTCTTCATATTTCCTGTCTCATTCCTGAGTTGGCATTCCCATTCCTGCATTCTTTTTTCAGTAGTAACATTCTGTTCTGGAATTCGGCTTTTTGTTTCGAGTTCAGTTTGCCTTTCGTATGCGTAGTCCTGTTGTACTGTTGTGTTTTTGTTTATACTTTCTAGAATCCTAGCTACTTGTGTCATTTCTTCTGGTTGGCTTGGACAGCCTCCCTGGAATCATTGGTTGACATTGGTGTTCCTGCTTTCTTGAACTTCCTTTGCTTTTATCCACAGGGCTTGTTAACCTGATTTTTTTTTTTTTTTCCAGGATCCTCGTACCGAAAATAATCCTTATCTTGGTTTCATCTACACCTCATTTCAAGAGAGGGCAACCTTCATTTCACATGGTAACACTGCCAGGCTTGCAAAGGAACACGGGGACATGAAGCTGGCACAAATATGTGGGACGATTGCTGCAGATGAGAAGCGCCATGAAACCGCATATAGCAAGATCATTGAGAAGCTATTTGAGATCGATCCCGATGGCACAGTCCTAGCTCTTGCTGATATGATGAGAAAGAAAATCTCAATGCCTGCTCACCTGATGTACGATGGCAGGGACGAAAATCTCTTTGAACATTTCTCTGCTGTTGCACAGAGGCTTGGAGTCTACACTGCCAGGGACTATGCAGATATATTGGAATTTCTCGTGGGAAGATGGAATGTGGAGAAATTGACTGGCCTTTCAGGTGAGGGGCGTAAAGCACAAGACTATGTTTGTGGATTGCCTGCAAGGTTCAGAAAGTTGGAGGAGAGAGCTGCAGCTAAGGCGAAGCAGGCATCATCTGTTCCATTTAGCTGGATTTTCAATAGAGAGGTTATGCTCTAAATGCATAAAAAAGGAAGTGGCTAAGCAAGGAGGGTAACCATTTTCGGGTTGGGAGTATAATACCTAAGTAGTTCAGGATTGCAGTTAGACGTTTTCTGAGTTTTAAATAATCTTTTTTTTTTTTTTTTGTTGTCAAAAGACGCTTTGATAGCTAAAAAGAGTTGTCAGGATCTTTGTACATACTTTTGTTTCGGTTACTTGGCTGTTTCGTATCGTGTTTTCTTGAAAAAGGAGTTTTTCTTTATCTAATTATTTCTTTGAACACCAATTTCTTAAGTCCTTCAGGATTTCAAACACCTGTATTTTCCAAGAAATCCAATATCATTCTGGTGATTTTGCAGCAGATTACAAAGTTTCGCCCTCAACCCTGATTTCTTCTTGAAGGAAGGAAGATAATCAGGCTCCTTTTTCATTTTCTTCTGAACCCTCTCCAATTTATTCTGCTCTCTTCTCAGGTAACAGCATATGGGTCTTGCTTCTTTGCCTCAAGCTTCATTTGGAACCTAAACTGCATTCTCTTAGCACCTCTGATGAGTAAAAATGGTTTGACACGCTTTTGAGGAGTTGATATTGTCAATTGTACATCTCAAAATGACAAGTTAGGCCAAGATTATTGTTTTGTTAGGAAATGAGAAGCCTCTTTTGAGTACAAATGACAATTGAGATAAAGGCATAAAATGAAAAGAAAAAAGTGCATAAAATGAAACCAAAAAAAGTTGCAGAATTGCTATAGTTTATTAATATTGAATTGGTGCAACAGCAATCAGAAAAAATTTCTTCTGGGTAACAAATAAGAACAAATTCAGAATATCATAAAAAGCCAGTCTAATGATATCTATTGCAATCATTTGCAACTAATATCCCACCAAATCTTTTGTACTCTCAATCCTACCACTCTGGCCGGGCCAATAAATCAAGAAGCAACAAATGAATCAAATATATATATATATATATATATAGAAATTATACTAATCATCACAGCAACCTGGTGATGGATGAATGATCACAGAGATTCAATTCAGTCAAATCCACAAAGATTCAAACTTGAAACGGCCATGGCCAATCCTTCAAATCCTCCTGATTTTGAACCTTGGCACTTCTCTTCAAACCACTGACACCACCACCATTGTTATCCCCATCCATATAGGCATAATACTTCAAGAAAAATGCAAGAGTTAAAACCACCCACTCTAAGCAGAAGATGGCAATGCAGAGCCCACCTGCCAGTTTCAGAATCAAAGCAGCATCATCTTCCCTCACGTAAGACTTCAAGTTCCCAAGGAAATCCCCTGTTCTCGTGAAGATGAGAACCGAAACAGAGCCCTGAAATATTGCGGTCAGCACCGTGGATACCATGTGGGCCCCGTACCATTTCCCTGCGCCGGAGGAAGCCGCGGCGCAGCCCGAAATCGCCCCGACGATGGTCAAGATGTGGAGAAGGATCAAGAAGAATCCGCAGAGTGATGGGACTAATCTGAGGGAGAGCGTGAGGAAAATGCAACTCGAGGCGGCACCCAGGATGATGTAATTGCATAGAAGAAAGATCTTCAGAGTATGGTGGTTGGATGATGAATCACCATTGGAGCTGATTGAAAATCCCATTTTTTTCCTTCTTTCTTCAAAATGGGCTAAAAATTTTGTCTGAGTTTTGCGAGATTACGAAAACTGGGATTTGAAGAATCAAAGCTATAACAGAGTCTTTTTGAAGAAAACTCTGTTTGGGGAGAGATTGTGATGTGATCTGTGTTGAAGAAGAAAGAAGATGGTAAAAATAGAGAGAGGAAAGGCGGTAACGGTCGAGTTTTTGATATCTGACCGTTGGGGGGAGAATTGTCAAAGATTACAGCAATACTTTAGTATTGGATTCCCGCGGCTATGTTTTATGCCGTTGCCCATCGCGTTCTAATTTTAACTTTACCGTTACCCACCCATATTTACTTCTCCAAAATTACTGTTTTCCTTTTACTGCTCAAATGTTACCATACAACCCAAATCGTATCACTTCTAGTACAATGTCTCGTATATAGTGTTTTTTTTTTTTTTTTTTTTTGTTTTCCGGAAAATCTCTTTCATAGTGAAAAAATTATTCGTAGTGGAGAAACCGGTTCAGAAAAGAAGGAAGAAAAAAAAAAGAATTCTATTTGAAAATTGTAAATAGTTGGCTATTTCTATACTTGTTTTGACATCTAAATCAGATAATGAGTAAAAGAGTAGGAAAAATCATCTATAGAAAATGTATTTCTACACTCTCATTAGCTTTCTCCTGTCCACTGTCCACTGAGCAGTGTAAAAAAAGATATCCGCCCAGTTTTTCTCTTCGTATGTCATTCTTTCCAGCAACAAAATGAGATGAAAAGGACCGCTAACGTCTTACTTTACTGCAAACCTAGGTTAAGAATTAATGATGTGCGCAGGAAAATTTGAGAATTACGTTCTACTTTTGTACCGCAGAAATCCCATCACCATGCATGTACAAGCTCCTTTTCACCATTCTAAAACAGTCAGTCATTCATGTACAAAATCTTCTCCATTGATTTAAGACTTGTCAAAGAGCGGTAGTTTTGAAGCAATCATCAGAAAGAAAAACCGTCTCATTCAGTTTCAAGTTCAGTTCCAAATTTCTCCAACCTGTCCGCTTCCTCGTCCAAATCCCGGATTGCAGCATGATTGATGGATCCATCGTCTTCACTAGCATGTACCTGTCTTTGATTGAACCTGAAAGGAGAAACGTCACCATTATGGGTGGTAAAAGAAACAATTACTTAGCTACGACCCAATTTTTGGTGCCAAAAACAAGTCCTTAGCCACAACCCTAATCTTCATACCAAAAACAACTCCTGGCTAACAAAACTGTCTCAAGTTTTAATGACAAAAACTAAGTTCATTAACAAAGGTTACTCTTCACAGTTTAAACCGATAGATTTGACACAAAATTTAAATTCCTCTGACTCCCTTTGCCTGAAATGCTGAGCAGCATTTCCAACTAAAGATACACTGCTTGAACAGAAAAAAATAATTGACGGAAAAGACAAGTCAAAATACTTGCGGAAGAACAATTTGAAGGTGCTGACAGCAATGCTCCTAATACAGTAAAATGCTCACAGTTCAGTAATTTGTCACACACTTGAACACTTTGCAAAATGATGTCATTAATGGTCCTAACATTTTTGTCCACTAAGGTTGTCATGCACCACAAATCCCAAAATATACAATTTACCAACTCTTATTATGAACAAGGATCCACAACATTACAACTTCCAAGCGTTAATAGTTGTCATGGTCAAATAAATGAGTTGACAGCTTCAAAAAAGATATAAAAGACATTACCACCGTCCATTCATCAGTTCGATGCACTTCAATGCATCCTTTCTGTCCTTAAATTTAACAAGCACAACACCTTGCGGATGGTTTTCACAGACCTACAGACAGAAAATGAGCAGATGACAACAAAAATCAGCAATTGAAAGTTTCAGACTGCAAGTCAAGGCCGAATAAATTGAATCCAGTAAATGAAAGCTAATCGGACACTCGGTATTATAAAGAATAGAGCATCTTCTCCTCAAACATACAAGGGGGTGGGGGAGTTTCAAATAAGACAACGTTGGAGAGATAAGAGAAGCAACAACTGATCCCCCAGATTGTTGTAATGTAAAATGATCTATTTCTATATCTCAAGTCCATAACAAGGGTAAATTGATGGGAAACACAAATGTAATTTCTTAATATTTGAGATATTCCAACTTGGTTAAATAGTTTGAGAAACTGCAACACAAGTGGACTCTAGTGCAAATATTAAACATGACATTTACCTTGACTGACTCCAGAGGACCAAGTTTTGAACACTCATCTCTAACATCTTCCTCCAATTCAGAGCGAAAATTCTCATCAGCCTGCCAATAAGTGGACCTGGTTAGTAAAAGCATACCGAGGTATATTCTAATAACACCTGTCACATTCCGAGATTAGAGATTCCGTGAGTATAAAAGTAGAATGAACCAGACAATCAAGAGGATTAGTGAGCATTTTAAAGTTGATAATCAATTCTTAGATAGATTTAGGAGTGGATTTCATTCACTTCTGCATTTGATAGCATTATGTGTGGGGATGGTAACCTTGAGGTCTTATTCAAAGTTCAAACTTCAAACCTCCAGGGGTACCAGCCCAAACAGTACATGAAAGTGAAAATAAAAAGGAAGCTTCCTGGAGTACATGTACAATTTTCCCACGAATCAAAAATGTCTCCAACATAGACTACCTAATGGTGAGTCAACGCAGAAATGCATTACCAGTAATTCCCAAAGTCGACCTTCTAAGTAATGCTGTAAGTTCTAAACATAGAGAGAAGCAGACCAGTGAAGAATGCATTAACATATTGTCCTATGTCCATTACTTTATTGTTCTCAGTTCGCTCATATATTCTTCAATCTTTTCCCATAGTTTACATTAATAGTTTAAAGATCAAAACAGCTATCCTAGATCCCTCTCAGCCAGCACATACTCAATTGGCAAGTTCTTCGCCTTCTCCTAGACTAAGCAACCGTTAAGGGTCACCCACATATGATCAAGTCCAAATCAAGAATATTTTTCTGAACATGAACACTTTCAGATTAAGAAAACTTGTGAAATTACTGCCAATATATAATAATAATATGCAGTGATTCAAAAACACAGAGAATATACCCTCATCTCAGTCGGGGTGAACATATACCGCAGAATCACAGTTGCTGGAATTAAGACCTTGGCATCATCTCGTCCGCCTGATAAACAAGAGAACTGTTTATGAATAAAACAACGTAAACCACCAAATCCAAATTATCATCTAGGACAAGAAGCATGGTACATAAATTACTGTCTGGAGGACACTGTAGCATATTACGAGTAAAATGGATTTAAATAAGAAATACCACATCAATGTAATTCTTACAGTATTGCAGGGAGGAGACACAGGAAAAGGTTCTTTCACTCCACCTATACTACTTACCCAACCTAACAACTCAAAACACTTAGGACAACTAGCCAGGTTTTTGGCCAACTCATCCTACACAAGTTGGTTGATAAAACGTAGCAAAGTAACACACAATTATCAACTCACAACTTCAGAAACAAGCCTAAAGAAAAGGTTCACATCAAATCATGTTAAGACAACATTACAGGAAAAGGAACATAAGTATATATATACAGCTTCATTCTCATATCAATCATTGCTCCAGAAAACAAAAACTAAGTCAGGTTCCATTCCGTACCATCTAACTTTTTGATTATCAACTAGCACAGTAGTCATGGCCATCAAAGATAAATAAGAATCAACCCTACGAAACATAGCAAATCAATAATGAAAAATGGTAGAGAACATATGGAGGCCAAGTACGGAAAAAATGCTCATAGCATCTATGCCGATCTTTTATAAACAACACAAAATTGTGAAAGAAAGTTTACCCCAGCCAAGCATTTTATGTTCAAGTTGCTGGAGTTTCTTCTTCTTTCTCTTGTCCATTTTCTTGGGTACAAATGTTTCCCCTGTGAAAGAAACCAAAAGTTGCAAACAAACACGTTAATGCATTCATAAACGACATGCAATTAGTATGACCTAATATGTAAGGAAATCATCCCCTGCAGGTAAGCACATTTTACCTTTCTGCTCAAACTTAGCCTTGGTAACTGACATAGGAACTTTGTCACCAGGCCGAAGAGGTGCCCCATCCAAAATTTTGATTGCCAAATCTACAGAAGCTTCCTGAAAAGATTAACCATAAGGATGGGAAAAAAATATGAGATTCAAAGTTACTATCACAATTGTCAGATACATAACGATACAACTTCTGACAGTACCTTTAGATACGTCACAAGAGCATCCCCCTTTTTCCGTCCAGTCTCTTTGTCAACATAAATCTTGATACGAGGCTTCTTCTTTTCAGGATCCTACACATTGAAGTTAGATAAAAAAATATATATATATATAAAACAGTGTTTCTCACACAGATATCCTTCAAAAGCACTGTCATGCAGTAATAATACTACATACAACATCCACTCTTTAGTAAGATTATTTTCCGACAGACACCAGAAGAAGAATTCACAAAATTCATCCAAAAAAGCTCAAATATTTACAGCCATAATGGCCATGGTTTTTACTCGGAAAGTCCCCTGTTACTGAATATTCAACTGATTGATAGTGGCAACCATTGTAAAGGGGAATGAAGATGTATTCAGTATTTTAGAAACTAGTCCATCAACACCAATTAAAAAAAAAGCACATTTTGGGCATTCTTAAAATATTAAATGTAATGTATTCAGTATTTGAGAACTAGTCCATCATCAATGCAAATCACAAAATAGCACATTCCAGCACAATAATTATTAATATCAATTTCACTGGAGTCACATTGAAGATGCTGAAATATTCTCACCTCCTTGATGATTCCACATTTGGAGAACACCTCAACCACCTGCACAAAAACCACACCACAAAGTAAAGATGAGATGGAGAGGGTATGAGCTATTGCATATTTTCACATACTCACATGTATATACTGTTAAAAAATAGAAGAGTCCACAAGAAGTGCGACAACCAGAATAACGATTTTACTAACCTCCTCTTCTGTAACATCGTCAGGCAACCCCGTGATATAAACATGTGTGTTCACTTTCAACTCAAACCAACTATCAGGAGGTTTATTGGCTTCCATCTATTGCAGGACAAAAAAAGGAATATTTCAATATATCCTGTCATTATTGCAAAGTAAAAATGCAAACTGGAAGGTAATCATGAGAACAAAACAACACAGCCATCTCAACCAACTAGACTCAAAAAACTAAAACCAAAGAGCAAAGGTATAGAATGAATTGAAATACCCACTAGGTTTGCAATCCAGCGAACGAGCTTTAAATGACAAAGTTATAAGTAAGAAGTCAAAAAAGACAGGAAAAAACCTTCTTCTCAGAAGATTTCTCAGGCTGCTTTCTCTTGCCATTAAGGTTTGCATCAGCAGCATCACTAATTTCCTTGACTTCTGCCCCATCAGAACTATCTAGGGTTCCCAGTGATGGGAAAACTTCCTCTTCTTCAACAAAAGTCATATCATCCAGAGCATAGTTCGCGGGTATTTCAGATTTTTCTTCCTATAAGCATCCGTTGGAGAATGATCAAAACAAAACTTAAAAGAAAAGAATGGGAAAGAAAGCACGAACTATAATTGTGCTACTAAGAACAGTTTTGGTACAAGTAGTATAGTACTTTTACATTTAAAGAGGACATCATGCTTCAACGAGCAGAAAACATTTCCCACAGGAAAAACACATCAACAGAAAATACAAATACGCAAAACTGTAAGGAAATTCAATCAATTTACCTGAGGAACCCAATTTCTAAGTACACTATCCCACTTGTAGAAAGTGCCATCATCATCGGTAAATTCTTTCTCGCCATCTGGTGGTGTGGATGGCCTTTCAGGTTCATCATTGGTCTCTTGCTCAGCGTCAGCTTCTGCCTCTCTCACCTCCCTTTGCCACTTCTCAAACTCATCCTCATCCCTGGATATGGCAGGGGCTGCCAACATAGACACGAAAAAGCAAGCTCAATACAAAACTCAAGCATTTAATCCTAAACATTGATAGAAAAAAGATAATACCTGTCTCCTGGATTGTAACACTTTGATTGGATGTACCAGTGAGTAGACCAACAACTGAGGACAGTGGTCGCCAATCAGGTGCGCCTTCAAACCATACAAGCGTACCATCTGAGACATATCCATTCGTGTAATGGTCTGTCCAGGAAAATTAGCCAAGCTTAAGCTTAGGTAACTCCTTGAAAATCATATAGTAGTAGATGAACCAAATGCCACAAAACCAATGATACTTATAACTCGATACGGAACTTCAGCAAGTACACCATAACAAAGAAAGGAAGCATAAAAATCAGAGCTCAATGAGGAGATAATTCGACAAAGCAGTGAACACTCCAAGAAGCATGCCAAACAAGAATTTTCAGCCTAGAATCAACAATTACACAACGATTACTCATCATCTATGCTGAACATCCCAAAAAAAACCAGTAGAGGTTTAAGCTAAATACTCACCACGCAACTCCGAGGAAGAATAAGGACCAATTTGTTGCTGGTCTGGGGCCAGAACATACCAACCCACTTGAGCGTACGTTTCCTGGCTTGTTAGGCTACCGTTGCCTTCTCCTGCAACACAGTTCAACAGCAAATTTCATACATTGTAACATCATCACTTCCAATATTGTATTTTTTTAAAAAAAAATCATCTTCTAATTCCTAGGTTTATGAAATTTCAAACGGCGTCAATGAGAATTTAGGCCCAAACACTATACCGGTATTAGGTTGGGGTTGTTGGGGAGGGAGATTCTGGGAGATTGTTTCAGATGACGCCATGGATAATCTTCTTCAGTTCAGAAATTCGGCAATGATGATGCAAGAATCAGCTGCTGTTTTCGGTTTGTGTTTCTTCAGACGGGTCTATTTTGATTCGATGATTCAAAACCCGATATGTGTAATGTAACACGGAGTTCCAGAGCATTCTTTTTCGTCCTTCCTTTTTTCACTTTATTATTATTCCCGAATTTCTGTTTATTCTCAAATTTCACCCATAAATTATGAAAAAAAAGTAACGGATCCCACATTTTTCCAGTTATGGAATAAAAACTTTTTTTTTTTAAATTGTTTTGATAAAGAAAAATAAGAAAATAATTTTCAATTTATCTTTTGTTTTGGCAAAGGCATATGTTAAGCTATGACAAAAAGTCTATGATTAAATGTTAAATGTTTATATCGAAAGAAATTTTGCATGTCTTTCAAATCAAAAGGATGATATCTATAGTTTTCAAAACGTGCATTTGAAAGTATATAGGTTTAATCTAACTTGGTACTCCCTCCGTCCCATAATTATTGTCCAATTTTACTAAAATGAAAGATTTTATTTTTGTTCAAACTTAACTATATTTTACCTTAAACAACCGGATATACCCCTACATAAGTAATTGTTTAACCACTAAGATTTTATGGATAATGTTTTTTACTAAGGACAAATTTGTAACTTGATCCATAAAAAGTCAAATTGGACAATAATTTTGGGACAAAATTTTTTTGGGTAAAGTGGACAATAATTATGAGACGGAGGGAGTATGAGAATTGCATAGTTATAGATTTTATCAATTAATTCGTTTGTCATTTTGGTTTTCTTCAGAAAAAAAAAGTATTCAACCTAAAGTTAGACGAGAAAAGAAAAAGGGATCAAGGATACAAAGTTCTCCATATAATATCACATATTTTAGTCAAGTATCCATTTTGTTAAATTTCAAATTCTCTTCGTCCAATCTTATCATCTTATCTTTGTTAGATAAATTATTATTGTATTGATTTTATATGTGTATGGTTAGGGAGCATTATCGAACTAAAAAATTGAAATTCAAAAAAACAAAAAAGTAACTTTATATAGTATCAATTTTTGTAGTACGATATGTTTTTTCGTAATTTATTTAAAAGAAAAGTTAATATAATGTGCTAAAAATGCTACCAATAGCTAGTTAGAGGGTGCAACTGCATATACCCATAACTACAAATTTCTGATAGTAGATCCCTGAATTATTACGAAATGACAAATTTCGCCAGTCAAACTCTCCTCATTTCTTGACTCTCACTGCCAGAACCCTAAACCCTTAGAGAGCACGACAAAAAATCCTTCTTCTTTTCAGTTTATTATGCATGATTATGGAAATGAGAAGACTCGATTGAAATCACTGTAATCGAACCAAAATTGAAAGCACAAGAAGAAGATGAGCAGATCAAGGGCAACATTATGGTCACGTATCATCCTCAATCAGCTCCACCACATTTCCGGCACGGGTCTCCGGCCGGCTCGGCCTACTATGAATCCCTCTTGTCCCGCCATAACCCGTCACTTCTCCGCCTCACCGGACGCCGCGGAGGTTCAGAGGCAGATACAGAATTTACTTTTTCAGATTGAGAAGGATAGACAACGGGAGAGAGAGGAGCGGAAGCGGAAAGGGCTCGATACTGCCGACATTGATGCGGAGGAAGATGAGGATTCCATTGGAGTGGGACCCTTGATTGAGAAGCTTGAGAAGCGGAAGGCGAAAGAGGATGCGGATTCGAACTTGTACGAGGAGTGGAGTGAATCGGATTCTGATGATGATGATGAGAGGTACTCCCCTGAAGCGGTACAGAAGAAGATTGATGTTTTTGAGAAGAAGTTTAAGAGGCACGAGCAGCTCCTCAAGAGCTTCACCGACGCTGGTAAACTGATTAATCCAATCCCCTGTCTCTTGTAATTTGTGAATTTTGCTTCATCATGTTGGCTGTAATTGTGTACATCTAAATGATGCTGAATAATTACAAATGGATGAGTATTTGCTTTTAAAGTCGGTTTACTGTTATAAAAATGAATTTTGTTCGTCATTGATGGTGCAAAAACTCTTGTTCACAATGGCTATGATGGTGGACTTTGAATACAATGTTTATGGTTTGCCAATGTTAAAGTATTGTTTGGGGGTTTATATATATATCTAACTTCTTATAGCATTAAGCAGAGACTATTGAAGATGCTCACAAATTGATGAATTGTATTGACAAGTTTGAGGAAAAGCACTTTAAGCTCAGGCCGGAGTATCGTGTGATTGGTGAGCTCATGAATAGACTCAAAGTGGCCGAAGGCAAGGAGAAATTTCTTCTTCAGCAAAAGTTAAATAGAGCCATGAGAATGATTGAATGGAGAGAAGCTTACGATCCTAATGATCCTGCTAATTACGGGGTCATCATCCGGGAGCAGATTGGAACTTCTGCTGAAGTAGGACAAGGTGATTTTGAGGATGAGAAGACAATGATTGAAGGTGGGGAAGATGATGATGACTTGGATTTCGATGACTTGAAGGAGAAGGATGATATATTGTTGGAGAAACTCAGTGCGATTGATAAGAAACTTGAACAGAAACTAGCTGAATTGGACCACACTTTTGGCAGAAAAGGAAGGCTTCTGGAGGAGGAAATCAGAGACCTTGCTGAAGAGAGGAATTCACTCACTGAGAAGAAGAGAACACCTCTTTACAGAAAAGTAAGTTATGAACCTCACAAGTGCTTTTACAGTTGATTCAAATGTTAAGCCGATAATGCTAGTTAATGTTTATTCATTTCTCTTTCCTCAACTTTTTTTTCCTTGTGTACTTTATTTTCTCGTGTTTTTCTTTTTTATTTTCTTTAATCTCAAAGTACACTAAAAAAGAGTAAGCATTGCTGTTATTTTTTCAAAATTTTCTCTCCTTTTGTTGCAAATGCATGTTGTTTTGGTTGTATTTTTTCCCTTTTGTTGTCTCTTTGATATGGTGTGCTAGTCTCCTTAAAATTTTCTTCGACATGTGGAATTTCTAGTTGCTATCTACTTATACTCTTGATAGAGTGATGTTTAAGAGGGGTACATCAGAAGCAATTGTCTCACGCCAAAAAGAAGGGTGAAAGATTGAGATGCAGGAATTTTCCTCTGCGGGTGTTTCTCATGTTTGGTACATGGCAATCTTAGGTCCCTTAAGGTGTTGAAATAGTTGACAGATTGATCACGCTTTTGTTATTAATTTTGGTTGCTCTATAAACGTATTCTCGCTTCCTGTTGAACTTCAAACATATCCTCAAACCATAAAGCAAAAACAAACCTGAGATTTAGCATTCACATGCATGATGAGGAGCGAGAAGCCTCTTAACATGTATGATTAGGTGGTCTGTAGTTGGTTAAGGATAAGATTAAGATTGGATGTCACAGGCTTAGAGACAGTGGAATAATTCCTCAATTTAGCTGGTGGACCTGGAACGTTTGCGTTGTTGCATTCCAAGGAAAAGAATTTTTCCATGGCATTTTTCATGATTTATTATTAGTTGGGGGATCTTGAGGTTTTGACTTTTAAATCATTTTAGTGCTCAGCTTGAGTGTACAGTAATTAGAATATCCATGAGTGGTTCATTGAACGTTTCTTGTGGCCTACGTTTTTTGGGTAAGATATGAATTCTATTTGCTTCGTGCCTGATTTGTCGGAGATAAATAATTTGAAAACTGTGTACCCATTAAATGTATCTGCAATACTGCTAGATGCATTATCCTTCTAGAAAAACTAAAAATGAAGGATTAGTTATTGTAATTTACTTTATTCACAACTGATGCAACATGGGACCCAAGATTTATAAGTTGCATGTTGCTAGCAATCCAGGCGGGAGGTCAGTTGCTAATGTCAATATAATTGAAGCATTTAGAATTGAGAAAGTTACGGGTAGTTCTAGAATCGGAACATTGTTAGTGATGATAGATATGACTTTTGCAGCTTTGCTTTCCTAAATTCCAAATACACTGCCCTTTGGCAACCTGCAGTTTGAACTTTTTGGTGACATTCTCTGTATCAGAATGTGTAAAGCCTAACCATGATAACAAAGAAAAAGACTGCATAAAGGCCCCATGGGTAAATAAATCTTCTTGCGTCGATGGAGTTTGTGTTACCTCTTGTCGGACCGTAACATTTTTCCTTTTCCCGTGCCATCTTATTAATCTGGTGTAGTTTATAAATCAGATTTATGTTCTAGTTGCATCTGTGATTGATAGAAATGAATCTTAGCTGCACATGCCTTCTTGTGAATAGTAAATTTACTGAAACTCTTTTTTTGTGAATGATAGGGTTTTGATGTCAAACTTATCGATGTAAACAGAACGTGCAAAGTTACAAAGGTAGGACTGTTTTCTTTTGGAGGTTCTCCTTCTTTGCTTGCGTGCTAGTTGATGTGCTCTCTGACATCCACGTGGCAACAGGGAGGGCAAGTTGTCAATTACAGTGCAATTCTTGCCTGTGGAAACTATCAGGGTGTTATTGGTTATGCCAAAGCAAAAGGTCCAGCAGTTCCAATTGCCCTTCAAAAGGTAAAAATCGTGAGATATATTACTGAATATGTTTTTTCTCATTAGATGTGTTCCTTCTTGATTAAAAAGCCAGTTTTATGTTAAAAGCATAGGAAAGAACTGATTCGAACAAGATTAGTCTGGCCTTGAAATTTTGAACAGAAACAAAATGAATAGATGTTACGGTTTTGTCTCTCAAGACTCTTCTTCTCATGTCCATCTGATGTCTTAAGAGACACAAAATATAGAAGAGCAAATAAAAGTAATGGAAGAAGCAGCTCGATGTTCATATCTGCCACAGGTTTGGAATATTGAATCAGTTAAAGGAAACATATTCGTGTAGTGGACTAAACATCAGGTTCATTCGTTTCCTAACAGTTTACACATGAGGAGCTCAGACAAAATTAAGGAGGTTTACAAATTACATCTGGCTTTTCTTGGTTATTTACAATTGTTGATTTTTCATCTAGTTCAGAAACAGTTGGAGTATTGTACCCCAGTTGCTCTCATCTGATTCTGCTTGTAACAGGCATATGAGAAGTGCTTCCAAAATCTCCACTCTGTAGAGCGATATGAGGAGCATACCATTGCTCATGCAGTTCAAACATCATACAAAAAGACCAAGGTTAATAAACATTTGCTGATTTCTTTCCTCTACGAATTGCAGTGCGTAATGTTGCTTTTAGTTGTCTTCTCCGAAGTACTATTTGACGTGATGGCTTGAATCCTCTCAGGTGTATCTTTGGCCTGCCTCCACGACAACAGGTATGAAAGCGGGCAGAACTGTCCAGACAATTCTAAATCTAGCCGGTTTCCAGAATGTGAAATCAAAGGTATGAGGCAAGCTGTTTCATCATTTTTTCGAAAGTAGTTTTCTTCTTGCCCTCTCCTCCTTGTGGCCCAAACTCTTATGTCTTCCTTTTTCCAGGTGGTTGGTTCAAGGAATCCTCATAATACAGTAAAAGCACTTTTCAAGGCTCTGAATGAAGTAAGTAGTATTTGTAGTTCCTGTCCGTCAGCTAGTTTCTTGTTTGCTTTTCTCGCGGCCAGTTTCGTATTTGCTAGTCATTCATCCTTTTTGTCCAATTATTCTCCAGATCAAGACTCCCAAGGATGTTCAAACTGAATTCGGGCGAACTGTTGTGGAATCATACCAAGTCTGAGGCATCGAAGAGGGGCAATGAGCGAGCATGGGATGAGTATAGCATGCAGTTTTAAGCTCTATACCTGCCTCTGATTGGTGATTGGTCAATTTTTGTAGAATGTTGATGTCTGAGTTTCTTTGCCGTTTGTAATAATTTAGTTCTAATTACTGTAACCACTTATTACTAAGATCGAATAGACACAAGTCAGGCTCCGTTAAGCAAAGCATCTATTTTATACCGTCAAGAAATGCTACAAAATCACATTTTCAAGCATTATCATTCTATTTTATACCGTCAACAAATGCTACAAGATCACATTTTCGTAATCAGCACTTTACATTTCATTGGCTTTAGTTCATTGATCCAAAACTAATCCTGCTCTCAGTTAGTACAGGACTTATTAAATTTTTTCCTCTCCTTAAATCTAAATTTTAACCTGTAAAACCGATGGGTTTTGCTAACATTGTATGTCTATTTTACCTTTCCACCTCAATCATGAGATCACCAAAATAACTATGCAAATTAAATTGAGAATTAAAAAATATACATATGAAACTCTTAGTCGTCAACTCGTCATTTTACATGCCCAACTCAGAAGCCATGCTCGTAAAACTTTAATTGTAGGCGGCTCGCCGACTGAATGATCGACCTTTCCATTGATATTCTTAAGCCGACGCGAAATTCGCTGACAGTGAAATCAAATTCTTATATCGCCCATGGGCAACAGTGCCGGCCATGGAAAGTTTGCAGAAAAGAAACACATTATTCATTTGCCTTGGACCTCTTAATTTGTGAGTTACGACTCAATCTTGTTGTCTTGTTTTGATTTTTCTTGGTCTTTTATTGAAATTTCTTATCATCCAATCTTTTTGGTTACAAAAAAACGTATTTTTATGCCTTGCTAATGTCTAAATATGCGGTTAATGAAGAGTTTTCTTGTAGTGATACCAGATCCTAACTTCATTAATCAATACTACATCCAGCTACTCAAAAAAACTATCAAGTATATCATTCTAAAAAAATGTTCTGGGGAGTAAAAACAGGGCAATTGATCATAATTGTATTTCAAAAAGTATTAAAGGATCTTTACGAAAATTTAGTTGATTTATGTGTAACAGTTAAATATTTTGTAGAGTGTAATAATACAATTATGAAAATTTAGAACCAAAAGGTATAGTATACTTTTGAATCTTATCTCAAATAACTTCAAGTGTGACATTTCTCTCGTATGCAAAAACATGCATGTCTATTTCGGACGATGACATTTTCAAAGTTCTTATTCATAACATGTGTAATGATACATGTGAATGTTTTACCAATTTCCTATATTAGGATGCTTTTAAACGTTACATAATATCTCTATTGGGTGTTTAAAAGATAAATCTACTAGAGATTAGTTCATCATTGACTGACGTTTGTTAACCTTATATGTTTTTGGCGTCGTGACATTTCTTTATAGGCTTAGATTTATATTTTGGACAATTTCTTTAAAATAGTTCTTATGGTGTGTGTGTGTGTGTGTTTATTTGTTCTTGACCAATATATATATATATATATATATATATATATATTAGCAAGCCATTTTGGTTTGTAATGTTTGTTTAGCTGATAAATGTGTTGGTCAATTTGGTGCGTGATTAAGCTTTGAGCTAATTATTTGTGGCCATGTTATGACTCAGTGATATTTTGACTTTGCTTAGTTGCAAATTTTCAACGTTTGGTCAGTGCTAGCTCCACTCCTAGTATATGATTGATTACATGTTGTGTCACTTTGTTGATTTGTATTTTTTTTTTTTTAAGCCTTGGAACAATATTGATGGTTTGCTTTTGTGTTTTTTGAAATTTGTGGTTGTGTTTTTTGTCAACCTGAAATGTGATGTGGGAGAATGAAGGTGCCCAGTTAAAGGTTTTCTTTTTTAAAAAAAAATTAATCAAGAGGCCAATCGACAAATAGTAGATTTTCTTTTCCTTTGAAATAAAGATACATTTTTTATTAATTTACTGAAAATTATCTAACAATGTTTAACGAAAAAGAGATATATATAGTAAAAAACACAACTATCATAATGCATTCTTATAATTATTACTATGGATAAATCTTAATAAATCTATTATATCAAACTGTGTATGTAACATATGTTGGAGTTTTAGTCCGAAAGATATACCACTACTAATCCTGGTTACTGAAAATAAAGCAAAAACGATCTAACAAAATTATTTTCCTTTCTTCCATGATGGGAAATAGAGAAACCACTAAACCACACAAACAACCACAAAATATATAAAGAAAAAAAAATTCTTTTCCCGAAAAAAATCTAGATTCATACTCCAACTCCTTTATAAAAGAGATAAGTACAAATGAATCACTTGTGAAGTTATGAGCTAGTTTGGCTCTACGGACACTAGCTCATTAGCTCGTGACGGAAGAATTTGTTTATCATGATGAAGAGGCGTTACGATTGGAGTTTTTCTCATTAAACGCCCCTAGAGTACCCTGATTTATGATTGAAAATTGCAATTATGTTAGTTAAGGGATTGATATTTTAACTATTTTATAGTTTTTAATTGAAATATGGTTTCAAGTAGTTATACTGACTCTTGCCATATTATTAACTATGTTTATTTGTAGAAAGAAAGATATTATCTTGCCAATTTAAGTTTTCTTTTAAGACATGTCGCTTTTGTAATGATTTCTTGTATGATAGATCTATATTTCTTATATAATCTATAGATATTGGTATGTAAAAGTATAGTTGGTTATTTAGAATGAAAGATTCATTGAATGATCACACTATAATGTATTGGGATCGCATTTAAAGGGTCAATTAGTACCATTGAGTTTAGCATTTGCTTGTTGGTGATTGATAAGCAAAGAACTTGTTTGATGTTTATAATTGAAATGGCTCAAGAGAGTCTCAAGCATAATTATGAGGTGAGCTCTATGTTGATGTTAAATAGATTACCTAGGCATCGTTTACTAGAGATAAACTTAGGAATAACTAAGGTTTGTTAACTTTATTATGTTTTTAGAATTGTGATTTATGTTATTAATGTTATTTTATATTTTTATTTTTTTTTTCAGCATGGGACGTTTTCAGTGGCGGAACCAGCGGCTCAGATTTGGAGGACTAACTATGGGTTCATGGTCGAAAAAATGATTGGACATGCATGATGGGAGGTCAAACCAATAGCTCCATAAGTGCTAAAAAACCTACAAAACCAATAAAAATAGAATGTGATTTAAACAAATGAGTATTTAGAGTCACTTAAATCTCTTTATCATTATTATTTTATTGAGAAACAACAACCTTTTATAGCCAAGAAAATAGTAGCAAAACATAATCAAAATACATTTAAAATGGGGATCCTTATTTGTATAAGCCAATGATTGATAGACTTAAAAAATCGCTATGATCAAAACTCAAAGTGAAAAAAACAAATAAATATTTAATCAAAATAAAAATAAATAAATAAATATTTAATCAAAGTAAGAATGGCTCAATTCTGAAAAATGAATTGATCAGATCATTAGTTACAACTCTATTTGATAGGAACAAACAAACCCAACAAGAAGCACATTCCCACCCCGCTCCCAGTGGCGGAGTCAGGATTAAAATTCACAGGGGGGCACATTTTAACTTACATTATAGCATGAAAAAAAATGTAAAACCATAAAACTAATAATGTTTTAGAATTCGCAAAGTAACCTACTCATTAAAGAACAAAAAAAAGCATAAATTACAAATGTTCGTGACGAGTCTTCATTTTTTGATAGCGTTTGATAACTTTTTCGTTATCAACTCCATGAGATATATGCTTTTCAATAAATGCAACCAAACAATCATTCATCCAAGAGTCTCCCATCCGATTTCACAATTAGGTTTTCACTATATTCAAAGCTGAAAAAAACCCTCTCCACAATAACTGTTGCAACAGGTAGAATCAAGACTAACTTCACAAGTGTGTAAACTGAGAAGTACACAATATCTTCTTTTTTTTTTTGTCTCTTTTTACCATCTTTGAGCAAGATTACTTATACTTTTTAAGCTTGAAAACTCCCTGGCTGACATTACATCCAAAATGTAAGTATCCAATTCAGTATCACGCACTAATTCTCAAAGTAGAAAATTCATTAGGATAAAATTCTACAAGCCGGAGCACCTTTTCCTTATTAAAGCCTAAAAAAGAATGATCTAAACACAAACAAGCCGTGCAAATAAGAAATTCTATATTTGTTTCATCGAAACGGTTTTCAAGCTCTTGAAGTTGCTAATCAATCAGTGAACAAAATAGATCTACTCGATAATGATGAAGATTTGTGATTTTTGGAGCATTTCTTCGTGGTCTTCCCTGGAGAACAAACATATCATCTATTTGTGGAATAGTGATTTCATGTTTTTGACAAAATAATTGAAGAATCCCATCCTTCATCCCTTGTAGCCTGTAGCTGCTCTTTGGAAAGCCTGACCAAAGCAATGGCATTAACAATGTCCTGATCCTTTCTTTGTAATGCTTCACAAAGTGCATTTGTAATGCCCAACACTTTTCTCATCAAATGCATAGTAAAAATGAATACAAAAGATTGCAATGAAATGAGCAATTTATAAGCCTAACCTGGTTGTTCCCAAGTTCCATCATTTTCAATTATTTTCAGGACGTCAACCACAGAAGCAAACATGAGAATCAACCTCACCAACGAGTTAAAATGCGAACTCCAACATGTACCTCCAGCTCTTTGAAGGCTTGTTAATTGATGCAAACTTGTACCACTTGTAAGTTCGCCATTCTTTAGATCTTCTACTACTTTCTGAAGGTGTAAATTTTGAAAAATTTCTTGCCTTTTAGATGAACCTTCTACAACATTAACTAAGATTGACAGTGTGTCATACATAGAAGAGACTTCGACATGCTTCTTTGCAACTCCCACAAGTGCTAATTGAAGCTGGTGGGCAAAATAATGGATAAAATATGCAGAACTGTTTTCTTTCATGATCAAGGGTTTTAAACCATTATATTCACCTCACATATTGCTAGCACCATCATAACATTGAACACGAAGTTGTGAAAAGCTCAGTCCATGTTTCGCCAATAATGCATCAATTGCTTCTCTAAGAGTTTGAGAAACTGTATTGCTTACATGAAGAATGCCAAGGAAACGCTTTATTGCCAAACCTTGTAAATTCACATATCTAATAACGATAGCCAATTACTCTTTTCCTGATGCATCTCGAGATTCATCACCTAAAATGGAAAATAATCCATTGCTCATATCATCAATAATGACTTGTGTAGTTTCACTAGCCAAAGCATTTGTTA